GTGTCGTCCGGCCTTTTTCCAGTCGGTGGACAGAAGGATCTCTCTGTGCCCAACCTTCCCCACCAGGGAGGGTGGCACGTCCAGACTGGCGCGCCTCTGCCAGTCCCACGAGGAGGGACTCTCTCAGGACCGGATGGGAGTAGGCCGGGGGCTCGGCTGTGGGGAGGGGAGCCCGGGCCACTAGCTCCGTGCGCCGCTGTCCACGCACCCTCTCTAGGGCCGCAAAGCCCCCGCCGGCCACCTGCTCCCTTCACACCACTTCCCTCTAGGGCCCCGGGTTCTGCTGCAAGGGCGCGGCCGCCAAGTCCAGGACAGCGCTTCTGACATCTGCGCCCCTGTACCTGACACCTCCGGCCGCTCCGGGAATAACGGGGCGGCCCGGCTGCGCGGGGACGCAGTGGACAAAAGTGATGCGGGGGAAGCCGGCTTCCACGGAGGCCCTGCTCCGGGGGAGAGCCTTCCTCCCGTCCCCCCACCCCTTTCCGGACGACCCAGACGCAGCCCTCGCGCCACCCTGTGCGCTGCGCGCCCAGACCTCCGNGGGGAGAGCCTTCCTCCCGTCCCCCCACCCCTTTCCGGACGACCCAGACGCAGCCCTCGCGCCACCCTGTGCGCTGCGCGCCGAGACCTCCGCGCACCTCCATCCCGCGGAGAGTCGGGCGTTCCGGAGAAAGGCCGAAGCGGGGAGACTCCGGCCGAGGCTGTTTTAGAGCGTGCGCAGCGCCGGGTAATCTCTAAGACAAACACACACCCCTCTCCCCGCCACCCAGAGAAAGCGCGCACACGCGCCTGCCCACATGCACACTCACACACACGGTGTGCACGCCGGCCCGTCGAAAAGGACATTGGAAGCGAGCAGGACCCTGGCACGTCGCTCACCTGCCTCCAGAGCAGCGCCGTTCAGCATCCTGGAGCCAAAGGCGCGGATCGGCCGGGATGGAGGGACGGAGGCTGCCCTGCCGGGAAGAGCCGGGCGTCAGCGGGGCGCTGCGCTGGGTGGGGCGCGCGGTGGGCGCCTCCTCCCACCCGAGGTCGTTTGAACCTCTGCCCAGGGGGGACCTCAGGTGCCCAGCAGTCTGGCGTAGAGATGGGAGATGCCCGAGACCCCACCGTGCGTCCAGCCCTCCGCGCAAGCCCAGGGAAGGAAACTGCACCCCCACCGGGTCTCACCTTGGGGTCCAGACGTTCTCCCGAGCACCCGGTCCTCGGCGAGGGAGGGCGGGAGGCGGCGGCTGGAGGCGCTGGCCGGTCCCCAGGTCTCGCCGAGCGTCCCTCTGTTAATCCAAATAAATAAACCGTTGGATG